AGGACTGCGATCAACCTGGTAGACTCAGTCCAGGCAGGTCCAGTCCCTTCCTCCCAGACTGAGCCAAGTGTCCCTGCATAAGCTCCAGGTTTCAAACTTCCAACTCATGCAATGAGCACAGGACTTGGTCCCACTGCCTAAACTAGCACAGTTTCTATCTGTTCAAACACTATTCCTTCTTAAAAGCTTTTTTAGAACATACACCATAAGCCAATAGCCATGGTTCTTTTCAGTTTATATTCAGGAAATCTGAGACTGCAGAAGAGGCATAGGGAAATCAAATTCAGCTACTAAGATTAATAAGATCACTGATTCAGTCAGCAAAACTAAGTCTTAGAATGAAACCTACCCTGCTGATAAAATGATTTAGGATTTCCTGGCATTCAGAACTGTGAGGAAAAAGAAGTCATATTGTTTAAAGTACTCAGTCTGTTGTGTTTGTTTTAATACCCTGAGTGAACCAAGACACACATGAGTGCATGTACACACACACACACACACACACACACACACACACACACACACTCAGGGTGGGAGAGGCAGGTTAAACAAATAATTCAAAAGAAATACTTGACCATGATAAATATAAACTGTGGGACAAATGATACATGAGCAATAAAAAGGGTAACATGTTAGCTGAGCTGGAAGGGCAGGTAAAAAATATGCTGGAGATTCTGGGGATCTGAATGTGGATATTGGCCAACAAAGCTTCCATGTCTACAGAGCACCTTTGACTCCTAGGCAGCAGCTGACTGGCCCCTGGGCACCTATGTGTCATGAAGATAACTACAGTTCTGAGAGAGAGTAGAAGCCTCGAGATGCATGGTTTCCCAGTTGGGGTCTGCCTTGTTCTCTAGATCTTTAGCCTGCTCCCCTCCTCAGTCCCTGCATGCTTTATTCTCAATCTTTTTCTCATTTTTCTTTCCGCCTCTTCTCTAGGTCCCAGCAGATGACTGCCCTTCCCCTGCACACCTTTATCTAGCCAGTCACCAAACTGTGGCAGCCACATTCAAGTCATCTTTCTCCTTCTCTTCTCCCACGCCATCACCACAGTCCAGGATTTCTTCAAGTCTCTCCCTAATTGTGTGCAGTGGCCTCCCCATGACCTTTCTAAGCCTGATGATGTCACACTTCTGCTTAAACGTGTAGTGTGCCTCTCTAGATTTCAGGGTTAAGTTTAGATGCCTTTTTAAAAATATATTTTTAATTAAAATATAATTCCATCATTTCTCCCCTTCCAACCCCTTCTGACACCCCCTCCCCAGTGATGTTTTTCTGTTAGCACATCCTGCCTCTCAGTACTCCCGATCTTTCATCCCCCAGATCCATTCACATTCCTTCAGCTCACACCAAACTGTCTTCTGACTATTCTGTTACTTTACATGCTCTGTTCCTTTATTTGGAATCTCCTTCCCCTTTCAACCAAGTTTTCCTTTTCCTTCAAGATTTAGGGTCAGTATTACCTTTTCCAGGAAACTTCCCCCCACCCCGGATCAACTCAGCTTATGCCCGTATTTTATACAAGTTTTTGCTGTGATTTCCATTTACTCTATCGTCTCCCAGGTTATGTTCATATTCTCCATGCCAAGCGTAGTGCCTGTCACCTAGCGGATTTCACAAGAGCTTGAAAGAAACTAAATCACAGGGGTTAGTGAATCCCTGTCTGGAAGGATCATAGATATTTCGGCAGCTTCTGTATACCGAAGCAGATTTTTGAGGTTTGGAAGCCGGCAAGGAGAATCGACCGAGTCCTGGATGAGACGAAAATTGCTTCACCGGGTTTCACTTCTTAGCTCTGTCTCTAGGCCAATTGGCCACTACTAGGGCAGGTGGAACCCAAACCAGAAGAAAAACTGCATTTCCCGTCATGCCTCTGGAAACAACTCCCGGTGACCCTCAACGTCCCCCACCTCCCTCGCACGGAACCGAAAGGGGCACTTCCGGTTCTGCAACACCCGGGAGCCGGGCGGCGTTGGTCGGCCCTTGAGGGCCTCGTTCGGAAGCTCCGCCCTCGCTTGGGTCTTTTCTAAAAAGACAGCGTCGGTCTGGACCGAGTGGGACAGGTAGCACCGGGGTGCCGTGGGGGTGGGGGGCTCCGGGGCCGTGTGCTGCACGGGGCCGGGGGGCCCCGTTGCTCCGGGGTCTTGGGGTTCCGGCGGGCTCGGGAAGCGGGTCGGACGCTCGTCGCCCCGGCACTGACGTTTTATTCGCTCTTCTTTTTCTCTGCCGTCCGTCTCAGCGTCCCGGGCTCCCTGCGTGTCTCCCATGGCGGATACGACCCCGAACGGCCCCCAAGGGGCGGGCGCGGTGGTGAGTGAGCGGCCTGGTCTCCCGGCTCCGTCCGCGGGGGTTGGCGAGGAGCAGGAAGTGGTGGAGAGGGGCTGGAGCCTTCTGGAAGCCGCCGCCCGCGGGGCTGGGGGGCAGGGAGTGGCGTGGGGCTCCAAGTCTGCTTCCAAAGCGACACCGCCGGCCGTCAGCCTGTCTGCGGGCACACGGGTCCTCCCCGCGCCTCCCCGCGCCTCCCCACAGCCCAGCCTCCGGTTGTGTCTCCGGTTGTCCCAGGGTTGAAGGTGCCATCGGAGGCAGAGGCTTCCACCCACACCCCTCGTGGTGCGCGCAGCCATGCCCTTTGTACCTGCCTTAAGCCCTTTTAAGAAATTTCGCAAAGGGGAGAGCGGTGTGTTTTCTTCTTCAGTTGGTCGTCTCCTAGGAGGAATACTACTCCCCTTTTGTAAACTTGATAACTGAAAGTGTTGTCTTGTACTGCACTATCGAGATACCTTGTCATTTAGTCCTGAAACCGAATTTTTGATTTTTTTTTAAAAACATTTGACAGCACCTCTGTATACACACACACCTATTTTGCTGACCCATTTGACATTCTTGCTAACCCACAAATGCTAAGTAGGTGTATTCGCCTCTCCACTCCATTTGGGAAGGTTAACACTGATGGTAACCTAATACGTAGTTCATGTTGTCCATTGGCGCTTCCCCTCCTTGGGGTTCAGCTATTGTATGTGTTAGTCTTACCTCTCGACTCTCAGTCAACGGAAGTTCCTCTTTGGGTTTTGAAGACACGGGTAGTTGCAGTGTCTAGACCTGTTTTGCAGAGTGATCCAGAAACTGGAGTTACATGACTGATTGTGTCCTCAAGACAAGAACCATTTTATGTTGACTCGGTTTGGGGAATTCATGTGTGATGTTTAAGGTGATGCCTCAACTGGTTCACCATTACAAAAATACAGTTTTCCCCTTAATAATTAAAAAGTTGTCTATCCTAATACTTTGAGACTGTGTGAATAATTTGCCCTCAAGTGTTCAAAGATCCATTAAAATAATTTAGGGGGGGCGGGGCGGTTGGAACTGTATATATCAGGCAGTTCACACTTAAAAACTTAAACCACCATGTGCCTTTTAAGCTGCTGTATTGTGTAATAGAGCGTACCTACATCAAGAAGACCCAGATGAGGGACTGGAAAGATAGGCTCAGTGTTTAAAAGTGAATGCCGCTTTTTCAGAGGACCCTAGTTCAGTTCTCAGCACCTAGCAGCTGCTCACAAGATCTCCCAGATCTTCTGGTCTCCATAGGTCACTGTATACACCACACAGATGTATTCACATACACATAACACATAATTAAAAGTAATAAAAATGAATCTTTAAAAAAAGATGTCTGAAAAGGATGATTCAGTGACTTACTGAGGAGTGAAAACCCTACACAGATACTTATTTTGTTGGGTGGAATGTATAGAGATCAGAGGAAAACCTACGATAGTCAGTTCTCTGCTTCCATGGTGGTCTCAGGGTTCAAATTCCAGTCACCAGTCTTGGCAGCATGGGCTGGACTGTCTTGATGGCCTATCAAATGGATTTTAAAGAGAATACTCTAAAGAAACTGAACATAGCAAGCTAGAGTCAGCCTTGCATTTGACTGCTGCTGTAATCAGTTAAGTTTAGAGGCATCACAGTATAATAGCTAGATCTCAATAGAATAGGCTAGCAGCATGTTTTATATTGATGTTGCTAGTATGTAATTAAAAGGCATGTAATAATGCCCTTGAATTTTAAATATACTTGTATTTTTCCTAAAAAAAAAAATTTACACATGCAAAATACCAGAATGAAATTGCTTAAAAGTAGTATTTAAAAACATCAGATAGATGCATGAATGTGTTTTAAAATCAGTTTATTGGAAGTACCAAGTAGAAGAAAAAAATTCCATCACATGTAATGAGGATATATATTATGAGACTTCTGTTTATATACCCACATATGTTTGTATCTTGGTATTAACTATTTTTGAACATTGTAGTTAAAAATATAAAAGCCTCTTTAGAAATGGATATGAGGTCTATGTAAGTGATAAAGCAGATTTTAAGTTCTTGCTTTCATGATAAGCTTAATCTAGGTCCACTGATAACAGGGTCAAGCTTGTGCCTGTAGTGGATGCAGAGAGTCCTATGATCTGAGAAGCAGGTACCATTTCATACTTGACAGGCATGTTTTGAGTGCCCTTCTGCATGTCCATGACAGATAGTCTGCAGACTGATGACTTCAGCACTAACTCCTGCAATGATTTTACCTCTCTCTTTGTAATGGTTTATTTAATCCAAACCTATTATTTGATGCCTTACTCAGTTCTGGGGCCTATTTGGGTTGTGATTTTTCTAAGAATAGACATTATAGTTCTCTTGAGAGCTATTTGTTCTTATTTAATGTTGTTTTAAAATAGAGCCATTATTGTAAATATTGAAATAGCACAGAAAATTTTGTACAGTTGAATTACTGTCCTGATTTTTTTTTTCTGAAAGTGCTTCTTATACCTTCCACAGCATATATGTGAAGAAGCAGTTAAGTACCATGAGTTTCCACTTAATAATCTAAAAAGCAAATGTTGCAAGCTGGTTCTTAAAATAGCCTTCATAGGAATAAAAGTACATAAATTGTCCTTAACATAATATTTTTCTTTTCAAATCTAGCAATTCATGATGACCAATAAACTGGACACAGCAATGTGGCTTTCTCGCTTGTTCACAGTGTACTGCTCCGCTTTGTTTGTCCTGCCTCTTCTTGGGTACGTATTACCATGTTTCTGACTCAACTCGGTTTTTAGCTTTAGGAATTGTTGAAATGTAAATGGCATAAAACTAATGAACACAAGCCCCATTCAAATCAGCAGTGATCTAGTAACACCAGTTGGGGGATGCTTTATTGTGGTTTGACTGCTCATTGGCAGCCATGGTTTTTGCAGTTCTTACTTTCTTAACTTGACAGAGTGAATGCTTTATATTATACAGTTAGATGTGTATTTGAAGTGATGTTTCCCAGAATGTGGAGTACATTCGTGTAATTTATTTTCTATTGACAATTAAATGATTTAGGTGTTGTGCAATTATGATGCAATTCACAAAGGAGGAAGAGCCCTGGTAGCTGTTGATGTCTCACGATAACTTTTCCTCTGGTAATTTTCAGGTTGCATGAAGCAGCAAGCTTTTACCAGCGTGCTTTGCTGGCAAACGCTCTCACCAGCGCTCTGAGGCTGCATCAGAGATTACCACACTTCCAGTTAAGCAGAGCATTCCTGGCTCAGGCCTTGTTAGAGGACAGCTGTCACTACCTGCTGTATTCACTCATTTTCGTCAATTCCTACCCCGTTACAAGTATCCTTTTCATACTCAGGACAGTGAAACTGCCAGCTAAACATGTAGGAGATGTCTTGATTGTTTTTCTGTTGGAAGGATACAGTAATGACATTCCATGAAGCTAGTTTGTGTGGCTTTTAGTCCGTCATTTGTGTGGAACTGTATCAATATCAAATTTCTGTCCCCAAAATTTGAAATCTAAACTCTGTAGAGCTGTTTTGGGAATTTAAACTTAGTCTCTCAATATTCTTGCCTTGTAAGCCTAGCAGATATTTAACAATTAACATTCAAAGCACAAGGTTATACATGAATTTAGTATTTAGATCTTTATTTCATATTTCATATTCATATTTCAATTAATTCCGTATCCTGGTGGGAATATGCAAATTTTTCAAAAACATGCAAGTTATTTACATGTATGAGGGTTTTGCCTATATGTATGTATGTACAACATGTGTGCTTGATGCCTGTGGAGATCAGAAGAGGGTGTTGAAACCCTGCAACTGAAGTTGTAGGCAGTTGTGAGCCACTGGGTGGGTGATGGGAAATGAATTTAGGTCCTTTGTAAAAGCAGCCAGTGTTCTTAACCCACAGCCATCTCTCTAGCCCTACAGATTTGTTACTTGAAAAAAAGTTTTTGGCTACCCCAGCTACCAGTGACCTAGGAACAAAAGAAAATTAATCTTGTGAAAATAATGTGCTATAATGTAAAATAGAAAGTAAGGACATGAGCCAAGTGTGGTAAGCCTGTAATCATAGCTGTGGGAGGCACAGGAGGTTTAAAGCCAGCCCGGGTTACATAGCTAGTTTCAGGTCAGCCAAGATTACATAGTGTGACTTTGTCTCAGAGCAAAACCAGGCTAGCAAGGTGACTAGCGGGTTAATTCTTAGGATTCGGGGAAGAGAAGTGGTGAGCAGTGACGAGCCCATCAATAGTAAATGCTAATCTCATTCCTAAAGAAATCAGGAATTGGGGTATATGCAAAGGTGGCCCAGAGGAATACTACAGATGTATTTGAGCCTTTGCTCTTTGTTTGTTTGTTTTTCGAGACAATTTCTCTGTGTAGTAGCCCTGGCTGTCCTGGAACTACGCTTTGTTGACCAAGCTGGCCTTGAACTCATAGAAATCTGCCTCCCAATTGCAGGGATTCCTTTGTTCTTAATGTGGTATATTGTCCTTATTCTGTCAGTGACTGGCACTTAATAAAAGAGTAGACTTTTCACTCCTTGCCTTTCTAAATAATTTTTTTTTTTTTTTTGAGCTGAGGATTGAACCCAGGGCCTTGTGCTTGTTAGGCAAGCGCTCTACCACTGAGCTAAATCCCCAACCCCTTTAAATAATTTAAAAGTGACACTGAACCAGGCATGTAATCACATGCCTGTAATCTCGTCACTTGGAAAGTGAGGGTAGGAAGGGTAGTCACTTGGGAAGTGAGGGTAGTCAAGGCTAGCCTGGGCTTCTGTGAGACCCTGTCTCAAAACCAAAAGTTGGAAAAAATAAAGTGACATCAAAAGCTAAGATGAATCTCTTAAGGGTTTGTGAACTGTAGACAATTAGAGGAGATAAAGTACTCATTTCAAGGCTCCGTGGTGGCTATGTGGTCATTTGACAGAGGATGAAATTTGGCCTAGGAGAATGAGGTTTGTGAAAACCAGGACTGGAGCCCAGATATCTTGAACCTCCTGTTGAAGGTTATACTTTGGCACTGCCTCTGTTACTGAATTAGACTTCAAGTCTGGGGGTGTCAGAGTTTAAGTTGAATTTTTTTTTTTAAGCTTTAGCAGAGTTTCACATAGTCCTTAAAAATGAGAAGTTTCTTAAGTTTCAAGTTTTAAAGGAGTCTGATTGTTAAAAAGTCTTAAATTGGAGCCAGATGTGTATCCCTGGAATCCCAGCACCTGGGGAGCTGTGGCAAGGAGGAGTGAGAGTTTGAGGCCAGCGTAGGCTGCAGAGGAGGATGCATGTTTCTGTTTAGCGTCTTCTAATGTGTGGGGGCCATAGCTGCTCATTGACTAGAATGAGTGAGTCAAGGTGATAATGAATTTGATACTCAAATTATTAGCAGTTAGCATTTCCAGCTAGGCCATACCTTCACCTAGTACAGAAAAATAGTGATTCATTTCTAGTGCTGATGTTACTATCGATAACATTTTAAGGCTAGTGTTTATGCCATTCATCATTGATAGTCATTCATGTAAATACTTGACAAGTTTTTTATTATTAACCTGGCAAAAATTGGAGTGGATCCATTTCATTTTTTTTTTGAACAATTGAGCTGGGTAGTAATGGTGCACGCCTTCAATCCCAGGGAGGCAGAGGCAGGCCGATCTCTGATCTCAAAGCCAGCCAGGTCTACAGAGTGGGTTTCAGGACAGCCAGGGCTACATAGAGAAACCCTATCTCAAAAAAGAAAAAAGAAAAATTGGATGAAAATTGTGTATTTACCTACAGTGTAAGGTAGGTAAATATTGGACTTAATATGAAAATTTAAAGCCAGTAAGACCTATGGTAGATTTTTATGTAAGCTGAAATTTATAGTCTTTTTTACAAATTCAGTATGAATTTTTTACAAATTCAAAACGTTAAAAAAAAGCATTCAGGTATATGTCCTCAAAGTAATGGAATTTAAGCACATTACTTTGACACCTTTTGTCTGCAATGTAGACTCTTATAAAGGCACTATAGAAGATTTTCTGTGTTTAAGACCAAATTAGTGTGCTGGAGAGATGGCTCTTAGCGCTCATATTGTCCTTGCAGAGGATCCGGGTTTGGTTCCCAGCCCCACATCAGGCAACACACAACTGCCTGTAATTCCAGTTCCAAAGGATCCAGTCCCACTGACCTCCAAGGGCGTGTGTGTGTGTGTGTGTGTGTGTGTGTGTGTGTGTGTGTGTGTTGAACATTAACTCGTGCAGGTACATACACATAACTAAAAATAATAAATAAATCCTAAAGAAACAAAATGGCCAATTGGCCAGTGTGGGGTGAAAACTATATTCAGTCATTTGGGTGGCTTACATTTTCGCTTTGCTTAGCAGATATTTGTGGTTTATTAGAAATGTTTTTGACTTCCCAGATGGATGGTAAGATTTAGAAAGTGAGGCCGGGCGGTGGTGGCGCACGCCTTTAATCCCAGCGCTCGGGAGGCAGAGACAGGCGGATCTCTGTGAGTTCAAGGCCAGCCTGGGCTACCAAGTGAGTTCCAGGAAAGGCCCAAAGCTACACAGAGAAACCCTGTCTTGAAAAACAAAAAAAAAAAAAAAAGTGTGCATGGGCTTACAGTACTCAGTGACTTCAAAGCTTTCCTTAATTGCTTCTCCAGTGAGTATTTTCCCAGTCTTGTTATTTTCTTTGCTTCATGCTGCCACATACACTAAGAAGGTCCTTGATGTAAGTAAAACTGTTTGTTTCTTTGCCTTTTACATTGTCCATAGTTAGTGTGGCTTGGAGTTTCAGACATTTTTTCCCCATAAACTTGATAGAAATTTTTTTTTTTTTTTTTTTTTTTTTTTTTTG